GGCACCCACTTAACCTCTTTATTGGATGCGGCATCCCATTTGCCTTATCTCTTCTTACCCTGTCACCAGGCGCACAAATTATACAAGATTAAAATTTTAAAGTAATATCAGTCTCCAGATAGATGCATGACAGAATTCTTGGACAGCTGCTTTTTAGATTAATTACAAGGAGCATTTTTGCTATAGCCTGGCAATGCTATTTGCAGGGTTGTCCACTTTTCAGGCTAAGATACCTCAACTACTGTAGTTAATGGATTGCAAAGAAACTTTAGAGACATTAACGGTCCCTAGAAGATGAATCCAATAGACTTTGATCCCACAGACTCATTCAGTCACATCAGCTCAAATGTTTTACTAACCCCGATAAATATTTCAACATCGACTTAATGGACTGGGATGTAATTTCATCGATACTCATTGGCCCCATAGGACCTATCCTGATGTCTCCTGACTTTTCATTGAGTGAGACCATAAAGATTTTATTCTATTTTTTGCAAAAAATGTCCTAAACTATTGGATGGATTGCCATGACATTTGGTTTAGACATTCATGTTTTCTGCAAAATAGATTGCAATCACACTGGTGATCCCTTAGCTCGTCAGCTAGGGCCATCACCCGGTCACAATCTTTTGTCACTACTACATTCTCCTCACCTGGAGCTGTACTTTGTGCCAAGTATTGTTAGCATGCTAAACTAGTGAACACACCATTCTACCTGCAATAAAAAAAATTTTAAAAAAGCACATCAGCAGTGCCGTGTTAAGCATGCCGAATGTAGCTTGAAGCACGGCTGTACAGCCTCACCAAAAAAAGAAACTATTTGTTAAATAATTTGAGTTAAAAAGGATTAAATAAAAATACACATATGTACTTATGCTTTCCTGATGAACAGCCTCTTGGAATAATGTGAATAACTTTCTTTTTGAGATGTCATTTAGACATCCTCTCTTCTACTAACAGCTGTCTCACAGGACATTTTCAAAGACTGACAAACACTATTAAGTCTTTCTGGTGTCAGGACTTGCATTATCACCTCCCTAGCAATAGCACTGCTGGGTGGGTTTAACACATCACAGGTACAGGATGTGCAGTGAAAGTTATCTAGGGTTGCACAATATTCCACTTGTGTACTGAAGCATATGCTATTATACAAGATCAAATCAATGAAAAACCAATGCACACAGCTATAATAACTGATGTGCACGTTGTTGAACGCTGCACAATACTTTTAACTGTATACAAATACAGCTCTCAGCACTTCCAAATATACAGTAGGCTGTAGATTAGGGTGGGAAGGTGACAAAACCCAAAAAAACAGAAGTCTGAGTATTGAATTATGCTCATACACAGAAAAGTGGCTGCTTATAAACTGTGCCATCCTCAGTCTTTATTCTGTTTCACCATTTGTCATGCTGCAATGACAGGCTCAGGCAACTAGCACTCTGCTGGTGCTTGTGAGCTGAACGTCTCAGGGGCTGAGAAAAAAAAACTGAGCTGACAAGTGGGTTTGGCTATGTCACGGTGTTTTGAAACTCTCAGCAAAGGGAGAAAATGAAAGCAAGCACCTCTGGGGGGTGGCACCATTTACACATCACCTCTTGGCTCCTCCTGGCATGCAGCCATTGGCTTTTGCCTCAGGGTGCTTCTTCAAATAATCATGTTGTAAACCTAACATGGAGGGTATAAAGTAGCATATTAATAAGTAACAAATCTGTACTGAAGTTATTGATTTGAAGCTTGGTTTTCATCTAAAATTTCAACATCTATGCTACATATACACATATATATATTTCAGGGTTTAGGCAGAGGTAAATCACCTGAGCTGCTATTACTTCATCTGAGAAATATCTCATTTAACAAGTTACACAGAGGGAAGCTCCCTTAACACTTAACACTGGTGGATAAAGACAAATCCATCTCCCTCCTGGCTTTCGTCCCCCAGACCATCTTTACTTTACCTCAATGCCCATCCCCCCTTCAACAGAAGAGCTCCCTGGTAAATAATTAAGGCTCATTACCACTCTGTTACTGTAGCTTCCTTGCTTTTTTCTGCATTTTCTCACCAGCATTTGGTTATTCTGATCTAAAATTACAAAGTAATGAGAGAATAAGAAACAGATAATCAGCTGTATAATGCATACCGCCTTTGTATCAAAACAAGGATCCTCATGGCTGAGGCTGAACAGCAAGAACAAAAACCTACATGCATCTCTACATCTTCAGCTACAGAACAATCACTGTATCTATAATTTATTATATAACATGCCCTTCTTCAGATTTCATTTTGAGGATGGCTTTCCCAGTCAAGTGGGTTGACTCACCCAGCCAGGTCCCATATAATGATACGGCCAATCCTGCACATACAGTGCCATTTCCATGTATCACACACAGCATTGGAAGATATGAAAGATCATCATGTCACTGGGTCTGAGAAGCATCACTGTTAAGTTTCCCTCTCTAATGCAAGAAGTTCTTTTTTGCTAAATCAAACAAATGAATCCCATAACTGTACATAACATAAGGGGCTCAGAGGGAATGTGGTTTTTGGCCAAAACACTGCATAAACATTCCAGGTCTCTATTGAATACTGAAAATATAACAGCTCTATAATGAAGCGTTTGCTGACACCTGCTGTCTCAAATCATGAATTCTCTCCTCTATAAATGACTTCTACCGATGCCAACAGAAAACACTTATTGTATTAGGTGTTTTGAGCTTTTTCTTTAATATAAATATTTTCAGCCTTTTATAAAAACGCAAAACATAGGTACATTAAAATATATAGAGAGTAAACAGCCACACCACATACCTCATTCATTTACTGTCCACCAATCAAAAGTCAAACCTACACCTAGGAGTATGCAGTATTTAAAATCAGACATAAGGCAAAAAGGCTTACAATATACGATCTCTTTTTAAATGTGCAATTCATCATGCCGCAGCCATACCCGTGTATAAATAAAACTTGTCAATTAGAAGTAGTTCCAGTGTTGCAACGTACAATCATAAGGGAAGCTTTTCTGCATCATGATGTGCTCTTAATCTTTTTTTATGCAAGTCAGCTTGAGAATGAAACAAGTACCTTTAATCTGGTACAGCAGTTGTCTTAACTGTCTGCTGCAGTGGACTCTGGCCTCTCCTCTTCCATAATACTGACTGAAAGTGAGGGCATCGGTAAGATGCATCCAGTATCTTGCATCTCTGGGATACTTTGATCATACAGGTTCTCTGTGGTGACTTCAAGGCCAACATGGTCATCTGTAGATTGTTTGCTTGGAGAAGTCACAGTGATCAGGTCTATAGCAAGCTCCTGCTCAATTTCCAGGATGTCTGAGTCTTTCTTCTTTGGCGATGAAGGTCTTTGGTCAACAGGTGAGTTATCTGTTTATATAATAGAAAAAATAGTATATAGAAAAATCCTCCTAAAAACTAAGTGTTACTGATTTACTGTTATATCCTATTCTGTTTAATAATCTGCAAGTCAAATATACTGCTTTATTGATTTGGTTAGACCACATTTATCTTGCAGGAAGAGAACATAATGCACCCAATAAGTCATTAAATTAACCCAGAAATATTAACACTTGAAATCAACTATTGCTGGCATGTCTCTTTTCAGACAGGATGACTATTCAGTTGCCCAGTTCACAAATCACTTGTAAAGGTACTTGGCCAAAGCAACACTGACCAGTGTTATCTCCAAAATTAGCAGTGGATGTCTGGCTCGTATCGCTGGTGGAAACCACGTCTGATGAATCTGGAGACGCCACTTCGCTTATACTGGAAATACCTGCAGTTTGCATTAAAAAAAAACTGATTATTTTACATGAAAACATACAATGTAACTTACATTAGATACAGAAAAGAAATGATTCTTAAAATTTGATCTGGTTACCTGAGTCCACAGCTAGATGTGCAGGTGAGTTTATACTCAGGTCCTGCATAGCTCCTTCATTTTCAATCAAATTTGTTTCACTGACACTATAGGGGCTACAATCAGCCACTGAAGGCACCTGGAGAGAAAACCTGTGGTTCAGACTAGACCCAACAAAGGTCCTGAAGTTAGAGAGCAATTAATAATTAAAAAGAAAACTGCATTATTGCGTACCTTGGTGTGGTCACTTGGCACCAGGTCTGCACTGCTGCCAGTCACAATGGATTGCTGAACATGTTTATTCTGGATGTTAGGCTGAGCTGGACGAGTTGGGATCCTGTGCAAGTAGCCGTAGCCAATACCACAGCCCAAGCTGAAATTTAACCCACATAAAAAAGGGTATTATATTTCATGTCTGTGCCATAATGAGAAATGGCAATATATTGCTATTATGTATTTTAAATTGAAGGCAAATGTCTACCTTCCCTCTCCCCCCCAAGCTCCATTAGGTGTCACCACTACCTCTCTGCATTGACCAGTCTGTGTGTTGTACACAAGCAGCTTCAGAGGTTTCCCCTCATTGGCTTCAACCAAAGAAAAGAAATCTTCCGACTGCAGGAGTTAGAAAAACAATAGTATAATCTATTGAGCATGCCTGTCTTAATATCTATGTACAGTAATAGTGACTAAAGGCAAAAGACATAAAAGCCTACATCTTGCAACACCTGCTCAGCTCCCACAATAAAGTCCTCATGTGCAATAAGGCCAGCCATCACTGCAGGAGAGTTAGCTTCCACATCCTACAAGGGGGAAAAAATGTTATTTAAAACCACATTGTGAATTTAACAAAATTAAGTTTAAAATGACTTGTAATGTGGGAATTTGCCAGAATAACACCAATTTTGTTCAGATATTTGGTGGTACCAGTACAGAATATAATAAAGGCAGGTTTATTTAAATAGCACATTTTCATACACAGACAATTCAAAGTGCTCGACACACTGTACAGAAATAGATAAAACAATAAAACACAATTTCATAAATACATTTAAAGGAACAATTGCATGATGTACCAACAAGAGTATGACTCAGCTTTCCTCAGTAGTTAGGATTCATTGCAAATTTTCCATAAAATTAGAATTTATTGTGAAACCTACTCCTTTGCCATCTAATGTCCTCTACTAAACAACAAAATACAAAAACAAATTACTCTCCCAGCTTCCAATAGTTTAAAGACAAGCAAAAAGATTCCAGAACAACTAAAACAAAAGAGATTTGACTTACCAAGACATGCCACACATTCTCATTGGCTCCTTCAAAGCTGCAGAAGCGGACACTAGCACCTAGCAGACCCTGACCACCCCACATGTTACTGGGTATCACCTCCAACTCCCTCACCCGCTGGGTTTTAGAGCTGTACACTTCAAGTTTGACTGCTTTTTCCACATTTGCTTTCAGGAGGTCTTTCAGCAAATCACTTTCTTTATTCTGCAGAATCAAAGCAATAGTGAACATTCCAGCAATAACGGCACAGGGATGACAAACCATATTTTATGTAGGAGAACATGAAATAAGATCTGTCAGCCAAATGTATGGCCACTGCTTTTTCTGAGGCTATATTTCAAGGCTGAGTTGAGTTTGCAGTACAGCACAAAAGCACATATCACTATAAAGTTTAGTCTACTCACAAGCCGGGTATTCCCAATAGAGAGAATTAAGTCAAAAAAGGGCTCCAAACCAGCCTTCTGAGCAGGTGAATCAACTTGAACCTGAAATAAACATTTGACATTCTGTTTGACATAAAGAGTAGACTCTTATAGTCACCCTAGTGTGACAACATTAGCTGCTGCAGTAACCAGAATTTGGGGCTACTTGTTGCAACATATTACATACATGTTCCTCACATGGTGTATAGGCAAATATGTAACGCTGACCCGACAGTTTATCCTGACTCCTACTCACTGCAGAAACTAGCAAACACTTTCACAGTATGTAGCAGAGCTAAACAGCTGGGTGTGCCAAATGCCACCTCATAGTGGGTGTTCACCATTCAAACTGATCGCAGTTTTACAATTCACTACACTTGCAGAATAATCTGACCATTACAAATCGGCTATTGTGATTCTTCACAGAGAAAAGTGGTAGCATTGGACTGTCTGATCAGGACGAGCATAGTTTGCAATTAAATGAGCTAAGAATGGGTAGTCCAGATTCAAAACGATGTAGGTACACACTGAACACTGTAGCTCGCCTATATCACCCTACACAAACATCTTGGCTAACTTATAACGTACCCCATGGACATGATATCCACTATTAGAGCCACCGTCAGACAAAAACGAGCTCTGAGATAGTCCCATCGCCACACTCACTGACCAAACGTCACTGAGGTAGAGCCATCAAAACAAGATAGCTTCCGCATTAGCGGAAGCAGGTTGACAGCAGGCAAAACTAAAACAAAGATGTCAGACAAATCGTTTCCGTGCTGGGCTGGCTGATAATATCGAGCAGTCTGCTTTCGATTAGCCGCCTTTGGCAGGGGTTGCCTAGCAACAGATAACGCTGGTGTCGGTGTCTAGTGCAAAATTGACGATAAATCTGACCAAATGTTGCGCATTTTAACATTTTAGTTTAGCAGCATGTCTGAGGAAAACCAAGCACATTTGTGAAAAATCTTTTGCTTTACACAAACATGTTTTGAGAGGCCATCCATTTTCTAAACCGCTTAGTCGCCAGTCCATGCAGGGCTAACACACAGGCAATCAACCACTCAATCACTCCTATGAGACACCAGTCAACCTATGCTGCATGTCGTTGGACTGTGGGAGAAAGACGGAGCACCCGGAAATAGAACCCACGCAAGCACGGGGAGAACATGCAAACTCCGCACAGAAAGGCCCCGGGTCGGCCGGGGCTTGAACCCGGAACCTTCTTGCTGTGTGCTAACCACCGCGCCACCGTGCTGCCCTTGAGAGACCATAGTACCATAAAACAATTGTTTGCAATTTTCTGTAGAGATACAGCGAAAGTATTGCAAAAATGATTAAAACTGTTTACTTTTTTATTTCTACATGTGATTGATAACATGTTTACATTACATAATTACACACCTTGTTGTATTTAAAGCAAAGGAAGGAGCCAAAGTGCAGACATAAACTCTGGTTCTCATAGTTTATCAGTCTTTATTCAAAAATAAGAAACTAAAGTACTGGGTGCTCTACCTGACGAGACAGAATAAAAAGTTAATTGAATGGTCAGGGAGCCAAAAAAACTAAACTCTGGTAACAAACTCAGAATGACAAACATACAAAATCAAAAACCAAGGCAGCAGAATATCAAACTCACAAATGTCCAGAAACAGAAAGCAAAAGAACCAACTGGGTATGGAGATCAACGAGGGGACACAGGAGACAGGACCAAGCAAGGTATAGACAACAGATGAGCCAGCAACCAGACTGAGGGAAGGGAGGTGACTATAAAGGCGAAAGACCAGAGGATAATAAGCGACAGGTGGAGACAAAGAATAGTGATTAGTAACTGGGGTAAAGCTGGGGCAGGAGAGGTGATACAGGACAGGAAAATAACCAAAATAAAAGAACCAAACAGGAAGCCAGTCCACAAACCACAACACACCTATATCGGTGATGGATTACAGTATAAGGCTGAACATTCTTAGCAGACATTGTAATATTTCTTTTTTTTCATTGGTTGTTGATCAGTTTCCACTGTTATCTGTGGGAAAATGTGTGCCTAACATCTTCACTCTTACAGATGGTTTAGTTGACTTTGCCTGTTTTTTCACCTGTATTTTTCTCACCATGATAAGAAATGTGAGCTGCTGTTTTTAAAGATTTTTAATTAAATACAAATGCAAAAAACTATAATAATAGATTTTGAATATGGATTTTGAAAGATTTATATGGTTGATACCGATCTGTTAAAAAAATTCACAAATTCACACTATTCCAATTTGTTCCCATTCCTCAGAAAACCATGACCCAGTGTATTTTTTATCTGGAATAATTCACATGGATTACTGATATTGGCAGGTAATGCAGTGGTTGCCTAATAATTTCTGAAGGTCTTCCAGGATCAAACTGATATAAATAGTACAAGACAAACTGCATCTAGTCCTGACTGTTCCAACATGATTTGGCTGGCTGCTTTTCTGTCCTGCATCTGTAAGTTTTTCAAGAAATACATCAACATAATTTACACAAACTTTTTAAGAGCTCTGAGTGATTTGTGAACACTTCAGTAATGCTACCACTGTATTTTTTGTCTTTATTCATGTGTGCACCAAAGGGCTGATCAGTGCTGAGGCACCCTTCAACCATAATGTGCACAATCCAAGGGTCATAGGAGGCCACAATGCTCAACCCAACACCTGGAGATGGCAGGTAAAACTCAAAGATGCTACTTCAGTTTTTTATCTGCTGTGAAATTTGTTTGTTTGAATGAATTATCTCTGAAATAACATTAAATCCTCCTCCTTATTTGTCAGTATTTTGTCTGTGTCTTATATTAGGTCTCTCTCCAGTACGACTCATACAATGACGGTTCATATTACCACATGTGTGGAGGCACTGTTATTGATGGCTTGTACATCATGACTGCAGCTCACTGTATCCTCAGGTTGGGGTTCAGTCCTTATACACTGACAACTTGAACATTTGAACATTTCTGAAAGTAAGCATAGCAGGTTTTTGTTGAACTGTTGTTGATGTTTTGTTGTATGTCCCTGACAGCATGGAGGCTAAACTGTACCGTGTGGTAGTGGGTGAGTATAACCTATATAAGTATGACGGCAGTGAGCAGTTCATTCGTGTGGAAAGGATTACGGTCCATCCTGGCTGGAACGGAGATCTCGGCAAAGGGTAAAGTGGCCACAAGTCAGACCCCTTCCCTTAATTTTTTATTTAATTTATTTTTATTGACAGCATTAGCCCCAGGCAATAGTTTAAGACATGATAGTTGGGGCATTGTGTATTTACATTTACAGTTGTGAACAACATTACCACTTTTCCTCACAAATAAATAGGACCAGAACTACTTAATCTTTTCACCTCTAAATAAGATTTAGTTTGCAGATGCAGGCCTACCACATCTCACTTACAATACATTTTCAAGCATTTTGATACTACATGACTGTTTTTATGATTGCGCTAGGAATGATATTGCTCTCTTGAGACTGGCTAAGCCTGTGATGAACAACGGCTATGTGGAAATTGCCAACTTTCCCT